GCACACACACACATATATATGTATATGTACTATATATATATACAATTTTTTTAAGGGTGCCCCTCCTCCACCTCTACCATCCTTCTTAGATTTTAAAACACTTTTTTTTAGGTTCCGCGTGTCAAGCGTGCTGGAGGATATTTATATATATATATATACATATTATTGTATCCATTCATGTACGTGTATACTTTGTCGCCCATTTGCGTTCCCGACTGCACAGGAGATACTAAATCAAGTGGCGCTACTGCCTGCAAACCATAGAAAGTGGACACTGTCAGACAGACAACTATGGGTGAAATGTATGCGCATTCATATGTGTCACAGAAGAAAACCACAAAGCACCGATCAGAAAGAAGAAAACACTTCCGAAAAGGTAACTTTGTGAGGGTGCAAGCTATCTCATGTTGTCTCTCAATGTTCTTCCAGAACCTTTCCTGGTACACCTTGGTAGTGAGATCAGCAGCTACTGGGCTGGTCCTGCGAATAGAAGAATATCTTTAAATAGCTAGCATGCCGTTCATCACCGCTTTCATACGGCTGACAACTGCCCCCCAAACTCTGCACAGTTCGATCTTAACCTCTGCTTCTGGATTGCGTATATTCCTCTCAGCAACTGCATAGTATGCCGAGAACATCACTGTTCTGCGCGACATAGAGTAGTGTGCAAATACTCTACCCTAAAGGACCATATAAATTTTATTCTCAATAGGCGGTGGAAAGCATGTGTTTTGCCAATGGAGACTTCAATAAGAAATACTTTGAATTTGAAGTGACAGAGACTGAGGAGAGGGTTTGGGATGAATCGAAGAAAGCACTACTATACAAAGGTCTAGAAACATATGGCATTGGCAGGTTTGGAGAGATCAGAACGAATCTCTTACCGCAGTGGGTAGGTAACAAATTAGCATTATTCGTGTTAATGATGTCAGCATCATGTTTCAGCACAACGCTACCCTTATTTCTCGAGCATTGAATTGCTGTTGGACAGCCTCTCGTGCTCATCCTACTATTTTTCAATATTCAGCACGACACTTTTCGAGACCATGTCCGAAATATTAGGGCACTAATAAATACCAACAACTTTTACTACAGACAGCAAACGAATTGCGGATGAAAACCATGCCGCTCATTGGTAGACAGAATTTACAACTCTATAAAGGATTTAGAGGAAATGAGGCTGAAATAAGGATACAGTACGAGCGCAACAAAAAGATAGGTCTTGCTGTACCTGGGTGCTGGAAAGCAAATATATTGGTCTCTGATGACCACGGTGGTATGTTGTGTTTTTTCTTTATAGCGTTTCTTTTCGTAAGCCCTAATATAATGAGGAATTTACCTATTTGACAGATTTTGATTTACTTCTTGTACTCACTTCAGTCTTTTTGTTCTGATACAGTCGTGCAGCGTATGATTGACGAGACCGAAGCAGAACAGACCTATGTGCTAGAACCGTAGCACGTTGGATGGGCAGTGAGAAGCAATCGTAGTCTCGTTACGGCCAAGGGCGTTCCATTCGAAGTTTACGTTCGAGTTATATACAACGACGCCTTCAACATCGAGTGAAAAAAAAATAGCTTTTCTGTGCCGGTGTTGGGGCACTTAAATAATTTAGGAAATACGGGATTAATCATTGAAAAATTGTCGGTGCGAGCGGTAGCTCGTAACTTCCAACAAGTGATTTTTAAGAAACTTCTACTGCTACCGTCAATTCTCTGAACTAGTGTGAGAGTAAGTTGGCTTCCACAAATAGCCTCTTAAAGTGTGGCTGAGTGCGCGTCTAACCTTGGCTTCCAAAAGGGAAGGTTGGTATACGTCCTTTTGAATATGGGACCTTCACAAGAATCTGCATATAAAAGTGTGGCTGCAATTTATCTCTTTTTAAGATTCAATTTTGAAGGGTTCCAGATGGGCGCCCGACTCAAAGCTTGTGTACAACGGCCAGCCAATCTACATACAATTTATTCCCAACAAACACCCAAATTAGCTTGCAGCAAAATCATGCACCTTGAATATCAAACTATAAAACAAACAACTATCCAGCTCTAGTATACACAGCTACGCTCAAGAATACTATTCTCAATCTTAGCGCGCAGATATACACTATAATTCTTGGTCACAACTCATACATACACTAACATCAGTCGTCGATTGAAAAATGCGTGCTCTATCGATACCATATCTGGTTATAAGCGGTTTGGCGGCAAATGCCCTCAACCTGTCCGACAACAAAAGGCTTGTGTATATAACCAACCTCTACTCATCGGTGGAATCAAACAACTCGTGGACAGACACTCTGGGAAAGGACGAATGGGCTGTAATCAGCAAAGATGAAGGTGTCCGACGAATTGAATGCTCATACTTGATTGGTTATTAATCTGATCGATTATTTTGATCCATTGGTTTAATTTATGAGATCAACCTTTGGCGAGTTTTCATATCATTTGCACGTGGCCTGCTCAATGTATATAACCTTTAATAAGGTATTCAGCCTGATATAAGTTATTTTATGTGTACTTTTACAGTCCTACTCCCTACCAAATCTCGTATTATGCTTCTCTCGGTTTCAGAGAGATACTTAGTGGTCTCGCGATGGTTTAAGCTATAATGATGTCACTACTGGCATTGATAAATCCGTCTACAGACTGTCATGTATTCTTCCGAGGAAGCGATGGGCCAGGTGACTACTTTCTCGGTGGCGGCAACTTGGACTACTCTCTTAAGAAAGTGTACACTGCCGTGGACAAGCGCTATTTAGGAATAGCCCATCACGGCTTTGCTGATGCATTCGTAGCACTGGAAGAGTTTGTAGATCAAACAATATTGAAGCAATGTGGTTCATTGGTAAACGCAATTTTGATAGACTTTCGAGTTGCTTGCGAATTTCGTCTTGCTGCTTGTCCTCCTTTAGTGCCTCTATATGTTTGATTTCAGAAGGCTATGCTCTATAATACAATTCTGTGGGTGTGAGCCTGGTGAGAGGTGAGGCACAATTTTTTTAATTTGTGTGTGAAATTTCAATCACTCTTTGAAAGCGTAAAACGTTTTACACAGGATCGGAAGATTAGCTTTGCGGGGTTTTCTCGGGGAGGCGGGCTAGCAGGTAGTCCCATAGTTTCTTGTACTTATTGTAAGCTTGCAACCTACACCCTACGATGCGCACACTTTCTTCCACGCATGTAATCTCATACACCTGAATTTCAGCAGTTATAGCACGACATACTTGCGAAATGTAAACCACGCAAACCAAAATGAATGCTGGCCATACCCTGTTTCATAGGCCTTCCCCACTTAGCCATGACATTCCGCCAAGATCACACGCAAGATTCAACTCAGTATATCTCGTATGATTTGCTGCGCAGTGCTGGGGGCTGTTCGCCATTACGTTCTGCATGGGAGTGCCGTGACGGAATTGACCACGTGGGGATGTCCCAGAGTATTGGAAGGGGACTATGCAACACTCTATCACCAGCGCTTTTCTCAGGTACTCCAGTGCTCTGATCCTTCATCGATTGTTCTTAGAACGAAATAAGAACCGCTTTCTGTGGTCCGTTGGGGACTTCGTCTGTTCGTGTAGGTTTGCCGCTCACTCTCTCACATCAACTTGCGAGTGATTTGTAGTCAAGTGTATTTAGGTACCCAATAGCGACTGTCTAAGCCGAATCACATCGACAATTACGACAAGCGTTGTTCTTACTATATCCACTGCAATCCACACGACCACACAATTGGGATACATGTGCATTCAGATTAGGGTTATGAACCAAGGGGACGGGGTCACCAGTCTACCGCCAGCCAATACTATGATCTACACACTGCCATTTCCCGACCACGCTATTGGAGAATATAAACACTTTGGCGATGTGGTGTGTTTAGATTGCGGTCTCACCCAACAGGACTCACAGCAATCGGGAAACACACAAGAAGCTCACACCTGGAAAGTATAAAATATGGATTTCCCTTGCTGTTTTTAGAGTTTGTTGATACAAAGATGTACTGACTATGTGTATCAGCTTTTGCACCAAACAAAATCGATTCATGTGCGACAGTACACCTTGGTTCACACAATATATATATTAACAACTACTTAAAACTGAATCTATTCTGTTCCATAGGCCGCAATATAAGAGCAGAACTGATAAACTACCGGCCGACGATCAACCGCCAACCGGCGATGTTGTGGCGAATGCTATATCGGGATCCCCAGCACTGGGGTCATATGTGTTTGCATATCTTGTCCCTATAATGGTGTTTGCTATAGCATTGTAGCTTGCCATCCATCTAAATTTGACGTACAGTGTTGCGCGCTATAGTATTAAAATCCTAAAAAAAGTGATCCACTGGTCTATTGGAACGACCATACAAGTATATCAGAGCTTAGTTTCGCACCGACAGTACGTCCCACCAATCGCAGTTATTGAAGAAGCCACCGCAATGTGTGGCGGTGTCGAGGTCCTTAAAATGTACACAAAGTAGTATTCAAGATTTCGATTATTGAGATTTACCAACTTGATCTATTGATTGATTTGATCTGTGAAGCCAATAGTTTAGATCAGATTGTGACGTACTGCACACCCACCATCCACTTACTCAATGGATTCTAACACGTTCAGATGCGACAAAAGGGAAAAAAGAAGATGGAAACCCTTGCTGGGATCGGACTCAGATCATAAGACGCGTTTATATATCAATATAGCAATTACTGTTCTACGTGTTTCCTGAATACTATTTTAGTGGATTTTGATAGCACATGAAATTAACTTGCACTAATTTTTCCACCAGCACTTATCTACTCGAGGTCAAGATACCTCACTCCCAGTACACCATCGATGGCCTGGATGTCCTTCAGTGCCTCTTGGGTGACCGGTGACTCTACGTTTAGTACACTGCACGACGAGACGATTGATATAAGGGGGAAAATAGAACACGCGATGAGTCTATTATAGTAAGCTTGTATACGCATCGAACTCGAAGCCTTTCAAGGTGTGCGGCGAGTATTATATATCTACTGTCCGGTACATATAAATTTGGTTCGGTATACTAATCAATAATTTATATGGGAAAAATACTGCGAGAACGTAGCGTGCACCTTGATATTGCAAAGGCAAATCTGCAACGAAGCATACATGCCATGTTAAAGTGGACTAATTGACAATAGTAAGCGCGGAAACACTTACCTCATGTGCACCTTCTTATTGTTCTCTTCTCCCATGTTGAAGTCGAAAATATTTAAATTATGGGCGCCACACACTCCAGCAACTTTGCCAAGCACTCCCGGCGTGTTATAGTTACTGTAGAACAGCACATGTCCATTCGGCTTGGCACCGATTTCGAAATTGTTGATCTGTCGAAATATTATTCAAATCCAGAATACGATGAGTATGTTTGCTAGCTTACCGGCGAATGAAAGGTTTTATATGCAACTATGTTTTGCGTGTTCCTTACTCGCTAAATATATAAAAGCCGGAACAACGAAATACAAACCAACCCAAACCAGAAACTACATACTGTGATAAGATGGGGAGCACCGGCCACAACAACACCCTCGTAGGTGTGTGTAGAATCGGCCGAGTCAATGCTGACACTTAGAACGTTCTTGTATGGCAAATCATCGATCTTATCAGTTCCCGTTGCATTTATCTGGAAATCCAAGTCCTTGGCGTAGTGGTGCTGGGAATGGCAACAATTAAGTAACTAACGTCAATGGGTGGGAACTTCATATAAATTATATGTCAGCATCCTTTAAGACCTTGTGATGCGACCGACTTTCAAATAATAGCTCAATTATTTGTGCTGGATATGACCAAATCGGGTGCGTGCAAATCGATATACACGCAAGTATTGCACGCGCTCAATAATAACCACCGATCACGCTGTATGAAGAGGCTTCACTTACAGCATTGATTAGATTGACAGGATCGTCACTAAGCTTTGACATGAGACCAGTGAGGAGAGCATTCTTGAGCACATCGGCCATGTCCTTGATTAGATCTCCCTTGGCAAATAGTGATATACTGCTCATGAGAGCGGTCAACGGGCACAAACAAGGATGTTGTGATGAGTTTATTGTCAGACCGAACAATCTAATGCCTAATAGAAGCTAATCGGTAGTATCCTCAATACAAGGTATATTGCAGAACCAACAATATTGCGAACTAGAAAGAGAACCTCGACCACGCTGACTAGCACGCACTGTACTTGCCACATCAAACAGTCTACATCTTGCAAACATACATACAAGACAACCTTCTGGAGTGCAAATAAATAGGTACTGCAGGACGGAGACAACATAAGCCTCCGTGTACATTGCTAGCTGACAAGGCCAGTCAGAAACACTAAGCTATAGCTCATACATTCGTCGTTACCTTTGGATTGTTGAGTTTGTAGCCAAGAAAGCATCACCACCCAGCACTTGTGAGACAATGAGACCCATCTTTGTGGCCAATGCGACGTATGGCTTGATTTCGGGAGAGAAGGCGTTGACCAGTTTAGGCGCATTGACGGCTCCCACCAGCGCACCACCACGCGTAGCGCGCACAATAGATTCTGTCAGAGAAACATGAATGAAAAGCAAGTTTGGGAGAAAATTCGATTGCATGAAGCAGGTCGATGCAAGGCATAATCGAAACTGAGGTATAGCAATAGATCTAGAGGGCAGTGATAGTACAAAAAATCAGATTAGCATGCCAATGCACATATACAACATATGCTATAAGTTTTCGTTACATACCGGCGATCTCGACGGCCACCTTCACCTGAGCATCCTTAGTAGACGCACCAAGATGGGGTGTGGCAATGACTAAGGGGTGGGCGATTAACTTGGATGAGATGGGACTGTCCATGGGAGGCTCCTCTTGGAACACATCCAGGGCTGCTCCAGCACACACGCCATCGTTCAGAGCACTGCATAGAATTGTACAATTGAATTGCTCGGCCGTAAGGAAGTGTAATCGCAACGAACATAGCTACGACTACCATTGAGTTGAGCTTTGTTGCTACACATGTATGAGCTAGTCAAGTATGCTAATTCTTGATAGCGCATCGAAAAAACCACGGGTACTAATAGCTCAGTCTTGGCTTCGACATGCTTGCCATTTCGCCATACCCATAAGAGAGTACAAATAAAAGCGATGAAACCTACATGAGAAGTGCTTCTTCATCGATGATTCCACCACGGGCACAGTTAACCACTCGGAAGCCCTTCTTGCATTTCTTGAAAGCATCCTCACCCAGAAGACCCTTGGTTTGTGGCGTCAGCGGCGTGTGAATCGTAAGGAAATCGGACTGGGCGAAAACGGCGTCCAAATCCATAGCCTCAATGTTGAACTTTGCGGCAACGCTATAGTGAGAGATCAAGTACAACATACATGATAAGACCTTGTGCACAGCCAAACTCCTATTTCACTCGAGTTCCAAATTTAAATGGAACCGCTGATATTTTTTGGGTCCGAATCAAGCAAAATGTGTGTGTGTGGGGTGTTATACAGCAACCGTTGTACGCGTTCCACTCAGTAGGTATATACTTCCGTTCGCACCGAATTCCGAACAATAGCACAGTGTAAAGTATGAAACGGTAAATGACTCACTTTTTGGGCATGATAGGATCGTAGCCGATAGTCTTTACATCAAACGCCTGCATGCGTTTCGCCACTTCACGACCGATTCTACCCAGTCCAATGATACCGATGGTCTTGCCATGAAGTTCCACACCCATACCTGCACGTGGTTGGTATAGATGGGCAAAGATGAAAATCCAGCATGGGACAACGATTGTAGGCAACTGACTCAATTATTTGGTCAGCGCACACATAAAAAATTGGTATCGAATATTCGCATGACTGAAAATCGAGCTTCGTTCGTCAACAAGGGCCGTTATGTTTTGTATACCTCCTTTGCGGTCGAACTTTCCAGCGCGGAGCTTTTCGTTACTCTGGGGAATAAATCGGCACAGAGACTGCAACATAGCGCATGTGTGTTCAGCGGCGGACACTGTGTTGCCACCGGGGGTACTATGTACATTTGAGTAGAAAGCGAGTGAATATCATCAGCTTTCAGTAAGGGGAAGTCGAGTACAACAATGTCTTCGAGATAAGAAACTGAAAATACTTGCAATAGACTCGATGGCCATAGTACAAGCAAAAACTCCTACAAATTTATGCTTGACTATTGACAGAAAGATAGTGGAAGTAGCATGACAAGAAGGAAACAAAATATTATCGAATGCGGTGCTTTAAACCCCAGTATAGATAGCAGTATGAGGTCAAAGTGGGTCGCGTGTCAAAGATATACAAAGATATGCACCCGCACTACCAGGGTAAAACGTGTAAAAAATGAATTGAATACCCAAGAGTCATCAACGCATAACTCGTTTGCAAACATTCAGCACCAGTGACTGCTTGCAATTGAAACGCAAACGCCCTCAGCACTCACCCCCCAAATTCTACCAGCCTTAATCGACGCAAAATTGACGACTCATACGTTTTAGATCTCACTTTAGAGGAACTATGCCGAAATCAGAACTCGCAGAAAATTAAGACGCACATAGGGCTAAGACACATGTGTACTAAGGACTCACTTTAGAACAATTGTGCCAGCTTTGGTTGCCGCATCAAGATCGATGTTGTCAACTCCTGTTCCGGCACGACCTACAATCTTGAGATTTCCAGCTGCAAGTACCTCAGCGGTGACGGTGGTACCTGAACGCACAATAAGCGCATCGTAATCCTGTAGCACAGATAGTATATATATATATATATATGATGCAATTCAGATTAGAAAATTTAACACACTGTTACAACGAAAATAAACATTATCTCTAGGGCAGTTGCTAGGAAAAAAGGTGCATGTTTTGTTGTCATGTAACTCGTACATTTAGCCACGTCCATGACAGCTGTCCAATTAAAGACTACATTTGTGCTAAGTGAATGCATCAACTGCGGACATTTAGACTGATGGTGTAATATCCCAAACTCCCCTGTGATATATCACTATACTGTGTACTTGCACAGCAATCAAAGGTAGTCTGATGCATACGATGAAGCAACTTGGAAAGATAGCGCTCAAATTCATATATCGATAAAAGGTCATCAAACGTACAAATTAGCTTCTACGATTCCTTTCTCTCGTCAGTGCTGGAGTATAAGAGAATATAACTCTAGAGCACAAGCCTTGCCAGGTAACTTACAGAGATGATCTTGACCAGCTCGTCCATGGGCACTTTGTCCCTCGCATCCACCTCGATACCTGCATCGTTGAGGATCTTAACGCACAGCGGGTTGATGGGATCACTAATCAGGACTTTTCGCACCTCCATTCCCTGTTGGGGCTCACCATTCGTTGCGACAGCCATTATTGTAGAGGTTGTGGGGGGTTACGCTGATGTGTGTTTGGCAACTGACTGTTCGCATAGTGTTATATGGAATTATTAGTTTCATATGAATGTGTAAACGGCAAAATTTTCATTCTCACACGACCGGCTGACGTTTCACCATTGGGCACTGGGCAAGGTGTCAGTCTATCAGGTTGACAATATGACACAACGTAGTATGCGACAAATATACTGTGTTCAAATTTACGTGTTGTTATTCTTTCAGTCAATAGTCTACGTTAGAGTAGAGGAAGAAGCCAAAACAGACAATAGGTTGCAATAAAAACATTTTTATTGTTGAACTCGTGAGAGTAAAATATAGCTGGAAGCAACCTTTTTTGCTTTTCTACACAGATTTACATATATTTTATTTACTCCACGAGGAGACTCCACTGACCACGCTCTCTCTCAGTCTCTCTCTCTCTCTTCTCTTCTCTTCTTGTTATGTGTGTTCGCGGGAGTGTGTCTGGATTCTGGGGAATCTGGACTCGAGTCACTGTCCTGGTCCCCTGGCTGGACTCCAGAAACCGGCTGCCGGCTCAGACGAGAAGACTGACACTCTGAGTCCAGAGACGATGTAGTCAGCAGTCAGTATTCAGTAGAGCTACCAGAGAGAGAGAACTACTAGAGAGTAGAGGTAAAAATTAAAACGAGTCTAGATTGCTATTTATAAATAAGAACTAAGAAGGAGTGCAAGAAGGAGGCTGAGGACAGTGAGGAGTGAGGACTTGAGGACTGAGGACCGAGGACTGAGATCTGAGGTCTCAGGACTGAGGCCCGAGGACTGAGGCCTGGAGCCTCGGAGGGAGGCACCGACACCACCGAGTCAGGCAAGACAGCCGCCTGCAGGAGCCACCCGTTTCAGGCTTTCAGTGTTCAGCCTTTTTAGTATTCGTTGAACGTAATCAACGTAACATCGCAAATCAAAACAAATGGATAGAGGAGAGAGACGGTCATATTGTATTTATATGAATGAAACTGCTCAGTGCTCACACATTGAAACCGCCGGTGACGCATTTCAAGCGTAAACGTTTTAACTAACGCGAAAACTGGAGGGACATATTTCATAGCCTTCTTCATACAACTCTAGAAGGCTACATATATAGCACATCTAAAATAAAATAAAAAGAGGTTATGGACATGCTCGTACTTTTATGTCGTAGCTCGACACTCGGCACTACAGCTCTCTATAAAGTCGACACTCGGCACTACAGCTCACTATAAAGTCGACACTCGGCACTACAGCTCTCTATAAAGTCGACACTCGGCACTACAGCTCACTATAAAGTCGACACTCGGCACTACAGCTCACTATAAAGTCGACACTTGTCACTTATGGCGTAGCCCGACACTCAGCTCTAGCGCTCACTATAAAGTGACACTCGTCACTAACTCGATATAAGTCGACACTCAGCTCTAACGTTCACTATATAGTCGACACTCGACACTAACTCGCTATAAGTCGACAGTCGGCTCTAACGCTCACTATAACGTCGACACTCTTCACTCGGCAGTGTCCAAAGAGACATATACTACCGGCTACAGTATATGTAGCACTAATACGACTACAAATCTTGCCTGTTCTTATTGAAAGTAGAGTACTTTTTCTTGCATTTAAGAAGGCCATGTTTTTTCTCTCGCACTTTCAAGATATTGCCGTGTTTCACTGTTTCTCCCTCATAGTCGACGATGTTCTTACTATCAATTTCAAATTAAAAGTCAATTCCTGCTTATGTTTTATTGTGAAAGTTGTGCTGTCATTCATGTTGGAAGAATATCATTAGAAAGTAACATTGCTATACAGGCATGGAGTGCTTGGTGTTATATCCTAGTGCTACCTAGGGTCAAACATCTTCTATACACATCATTTCCGGTGTATCCAATACAGGCCGGAATCCAGTGAGGCAAATATGCAGTCACGCGGTCACACATGTGTGCAAACACGGTTGTTGAGGCTACTATTAAGCTATCTAAGGTCTTTTTATTCTAATTATATACAATTTTTTTTATAATTTTTACTCTACTGGGCGGAATCCAACAGGGCAAATTTGCCCTCGCGGTTCCAGTGACACTTGAGCGTTATTTGGAACTGAACCATCTCCACGGCGAATAATTTCTGTAGAAACAGGGAGAAAGAGAGAAGTGAATCAGTATTGAAAGACGTACATGGTGTGCTTCATTAACCACCTCGAAAAAACTAAATGCGGCAGTCTAGAAGGTATGATGATGCTCTAGGCGGGTGCGGTAAAAGCATATATATAGTCGCGATATGCGCGTTAAAAATGAAAGGGAACACATCTATATACATATGCAAAACAATTCTTAATATAGTACAACGAATAGGCATATATATGAAAAGTTTATAATCAAATAATAAAGATTTGAAGCGGTAGCATTGTCCATAGCCTGTTCGATGCAAAACATATATGAACTCTCCAGAATAATATGTATGTATGACAAACTAGGCATACACTCATTTTGCCCAACGACGTACAAGCACAACCCCTACGAGGTCAAAATGTACAATTATGTTATGTGCATTAGATATTTACACGCATGTGTACATATGCAAACACACACATACACACATGTATATATATATATATGCTTGTAGATATTTACACGCATGTGTACATATGCAAACACACACATACACACATGTATATATATATATATGCTTGTAGATATACACGTGTATATGTAAAAGCATATATATATATAAATAAACTAAAATATATTTATACATATATAGATGGATACATAAACGTATAATAAATAAATGTATATATTCTGAACAATCTAGTTTGCATAGAAAATATTGGTTGCAACAATCAACCTTCCTTTCCCCCCTGAGATATCCACTCATGTTTTGGTGACAGATGCTCGATAGCACTTTGCGCAGAGTTTTATCCGTTACATACCAGTAGGCGGCATTGCTCGGGGCTCAATGTCTGTCCAAATTTGCACACAACGTAGTCCTCGTCCAAAGTGACCACGCCCTTCTTCATACTCGTCTTTAGTCCCAGCGATCGAAGTTGGGGCTGTGGTGTATGCGATGACAGAAGTAGGGACAGAGTGATAAGCAAGAAGGGAAGACTTACATCCCTTTTATTTGTTATCTGTCTTCGAAAAACAATCATGCAGCTTGATGACATACTTTGTATACATTGTGAGAACACTACAATTTGGACCTTAAGAAAACAAATGAGTCTATATATAGTTGTGTTACTACGCGGAATCACCGTGTATTACACAATGCACCCTTATAAAGTGTGACAAAACGCCTCGCTATGGGGTCCACTTCATATCAGACTGGACACTATGTAGTATGTAGAAGCATATTGAACGATGCAAGATATTATTAGAAGGGTGTTCAAAATAAGTATATGATTATTCCCGTTCTATACAACACCTAAAGGCTAGCGTTAGACATACAATTCCAGGAGTATTACCTGTACAATAGTAGGGAAAGGTCACATCGCACACAATCAAAGTATCTACTCATAAATAACTATCTACAATAGTAGGGAAGATCACATCGCACAAAGCCAAAGTATCTACTCAATTGCATGCACTTCACCGAATTAGAATTTTTTTGTATATATACAGCCTTTATCAATCACGTGCTACTGAATAACTGTCATAATTACATCAGTCCCATATCCAAGATAGTAGTCTTCCAATTATGAGCTTCATTGGCATATGTAATTAAAGCGCAAAAACTCAACATACGACACCATATCGCGGAGATTGTAGCATACCGATACATCATAAACATGTTTATGGGTATATGAAGGGGCACACTCACGCATGGCGGATAGATAGAGATTATATATGGGCAGATGGTTTGTATTAATGAGCTGACTCGCTGGTCATAATTGTTGTGCCAGCGTGCAAATTCATTGTGCGCTTGCTCGAGGTGTACTTTATAGACATACACACACATCGAACTCGTATACAACTGTTTACCTTTTGGCTATATGGGCACCAGGAAAAGAAACAAAAAAATGAAGATCTCTATTTGATAATTACATACACCCCACAACCTCTATAATATACCTAGAAAATTCGTCTATGAACCATAGAAACATGGAGTGCTTCCGGTGTCAATATAGTCAATGGTGATATCTGATTGATTCAGGTGGGTATACACACATATAAAATAACAAGTGACAAGTCTGCATAGTAACGACAGCTCCACAGGTACACAGATAACAAACTACTTCTGCATTCAGTTAAACTCACCTCCATGTTATGTGGGAATTGTGATAGGTCTCCAGCCTTGATAACAAATTCCCTGTCAGCCACACAGCCGGCACGAGCGTAGTCAGACTGCGAATATTGGTCGAACCACTCAGTCACCTCCTCTAGTGTTTTGTTTGTGAAAAGAAGTCCTACATCTCCAACAATCTGTTTGGATACCTGATGCAGCAACGATACGACAAATAATTAACACCATTGTCTCAAACTTACGCATCCCACACAGCGAATAAAATGATTACAGAGGAAATCTAGCTTGAAGACACGACAGTAACTCGATCCAACACCACACAGCACTCGTTTTGACATATTTAAAAAGTATTCAGATACACTAAAGTATAGGAAGGTAAACAGATTCCTTATTTACAAATGTGAGGCACACGATAGGACGGAAGTCGGAACAGTATATCGCAGTATGACATCGTGTAGCTACTCTTACGTAACACACGAAAACGAGGCGCATGTCATTGTGGTTCGTAAACTGGAGTTTCAGAAGAAAACAAGACAAGAAAAATTGATATATAGAAGAGATTCGCAGTGGAGAGACCAAGAATATTATCTGTACTGCAAGATTTAGACAATCAGTATACCTTGTGAATATTTTCAGCTACTTCGGTCTCTACGGTGTCTCCGATGGCCTTTGCCATGATCTTGTTGCGACCGAAATAGAACCGACTGTGGCTCCATTCGTTGCGTACATCCTTAAGCTTGGCATTGCGCATATTCTGTACAGTAAATACGAACAGATTGCTATACTCATCTACACTGTCCTTAATCTGCTTCACGAGATCAGATTTAAGCTCGATGCCCTTGGACTTGGTCGCCGATACAGTCACGATTCTATTTCTCTTTGACTTGGGCATGATTATAGATCTATATTTCTGTTCAGTAAGTGTATACGATAGGCGATTCGACGGATATGCGAATATGTTGTCGAAGCAAGTATATTATACAATATATCGATAATATTACTGAGATATGATAATCTCAACCACACTTCATTTCTGATGATGGATTTGGTGCACGTGTATTCTGGCAACACCCCACAGACCACAGAGCCCAAACTCTGCCACTCGCGGCGAACGCAGCCGTAGCAATATTGTAGGGTTTGTAAGCCTCGTTTTGCAATGTCTGTCCATAATAAAATATGTCGTAAATACCATATTCACTGGGTATTTTTACTTGCCGGCTAGTTTCTGGCAGTGCCTTTCGCTAGTACCAATTTACTACATGTACATTGCTGATCAACGCACAGGAACCCTAAGTCGCTTTTAAAAGTGTCATAAAGTGATGACTCTACTCTTTTTTTCGACGCTTTTTTCCAAAAAGATTTTCAGCTTCTGTAAACAGAATACTTTCATCCGGAAGCGTATCCAAGTGAGAAGTGTATCCAACCTCAATAGTATCGGTTAAATACAATGTAACTTGTTTTAAATAGTCTATTAACTTGACACGCCACTCATTGTACGCATGTGAACGAACATCCCCTATATACTCTACGTCATCTCGTATCAGTTCGGAGATGATCTGCAGTCTACATGTGGCTAAAATTATAAATTTAATCAGGTGACTCGCTCTGTCATCAAGTTGTCTAAAAAGAACAGGGGCCGTCTCTCTTCGTCGATCACGCCGTCATGGTATGGTATCGAATTGAGTGGTAAAATGCAGGCGGCTACACATTTGATATACATTGTACCAATTTAAAGCTCTAATCGATTATTGTATACACACAGACTGTGATCTATGTGTTTGTATTGTTTGCCAGAAAATAGTAGTTGGCTACAAACATAATATATATATATATATATATATATATATATATACATACACACACACACACACGTGTGCACACACATACACGCACTCACACACACACACATACACACACATACACGCACACACACACATATATATATATATATATATATATATATATATATGTATATATATATATATATATATATATATATACACGTATATATATATTTATGTATATTTATATATATTGGCACCAATACGATATGTAGAATCCTATAGGGTCATGGGCAGAAATGTTTCCTACAAGTTGATACAATCATGGACTCTGTAAATTTGGACAGATTTCTATGGAATTTTGCAATATGCTCAATATACGCGCAAGCATACAGCTATTACCTATTGAATTTAAGATCAATACGTCTATGATTTTTAAATATACATCCAAGTGTGTATTTGTGTGTTGCGTACATGACTATGAAAGACCTAAATTGTGTTGTGCTATGTAGTACAGGTAGTCCGTTGTGTGTGTTTGTTCATTCAATTCATGCGACTTGGATGTACATATGTGCGTTTAAATTGGAAGCACATGGATATGCACTGATAGACTGTATGGTGATATACAGGCGGATGTAAATTGCACGTATATATATTTCAATAGTACAATCATGGAATCCATAAATGCCCGTGCAGTTTTGCACGAATGAGACAGTACACTTTTAGGCACAGAATTGGATAAAATCAATACGGAAAAATATACATCTGCACTTAGTCTGTGGCTTTGTGTCTTTAAAAAGGTTCAGATCGACGCTCGTATACCTTAATGAAGCTTTGTACAAATGCACAGAGATGTTAAATGGATCTTCTCAAATTTTTGAAATTGTTTCTCACAAAGATACAATTATCTAACGCATATGAATTTCAGTAGTTGTATGTATCACTATTGCATACTTCGTGCATTTTAATATAAGCTTTCCATAAAGGTGATTTCAAGTCCCCGCATGTAAGTGTGTTCCTATAATGTACACGGTAAAGTTTCTGATTGTAGCTAACTAAAGAAAGATTATATATCTATTGGATTGTCAGGCATGATAAAACCAAACTGGAGGTAGAAGTATAGGTACTTTAAAATTATCTCATTCGAGATCTGCATGTATATCAGTAGATACATCACTGCATATAGGTACATGTGTATATACTCCCGACAAATGTTCTTAACGTTTAAACGAATTGTTATCTGACAATTTTAGGGGAGAATGCGAATTATGTAAAGTACCTGATGTTATGTGCATCACACGCGTAGCATGAAAATATTGTAATGATCATATTCGACTTGATTCGTAGTCTGTCACGGTAGGCCAATCTCTTCACCAAGATACGTATATAAATGCTAATGTTCGTCCCCAAAATGGCTCTTTTGTGGAACTGAGTTCAATTTTAAAATAAATGCTTATCGTGCGCGCAGTCCTTAGCATATTACAATTAGACAGATATTTCTTTCAAAGCTGGGTGTAGTGAATACGTATTGTATTGTGCAGTGCAATTTGCAATTCATTACAACTATATTTCTGAATAAGCAATTTTGCATAGCCGGAATCCGTAATGGGCACTCCAAGATGAAGTCTTCACTAGGGCGGATGGTTTTGAACTAATCACACATTCTATGTGTGTCATTTGAATGGTTCATTTACATTGGCCTTTGTTTGCGTTTCTTGGACTATCATTATTCCTTGTGGGATGTACCTATCTCACTACATAAAGTTCCGATCTAGAACCTCCTAAATTTTATTATTATTCATCTGTCTGACAATTATCCCTATGATACGGCGCAGCCCGAGTCCGATCTTAAACAGTTTGCTGAGAACGATTTTGACGTCAAGAAATGGGTGAATGCGTCACTATCTGCTGGTATGTAGTGTGCACAGATAGCCCAAGGCCTAGCCCAAGGTCATCTAAGTATTGAATCTCACTCTCTCTGGAAGAGACTTTGTGCGATGCTAGGAAGTAGGCAGTTCTCGTGACATATGTAAACAATCGCTCAGTTCTCGTGACATGTGTAGACAATCGCGCAGTTCTCGTGACATGTGTAAACAATGGCGCAGTTCTCGTGACATGTGTAAACAATGGCGCAGTTCTCGTGACATGTGTAAACAATGGCGCAGTTCTCGTGACATGTGTAAACAACCGCGCAGTTCTCGTGACATGTGTAAACAATGGCGCAGTTCTCGTGACATGTGTAAACAATGGCGCAGTTCTCGTGACATATGTAAACAATGGCGCAGTTCTCGTGACATGTGTAAACAATCGCGCAGTTCTCGTGACATGTGTAAACAATCGCGCAGTTCTCATTGAGAGAGACGGCCCCCATTGGAAGTGCCAATTGTATGAGGAAATTGGTATGCAAAGAGGATCTCGATACTTCGGATTCCAAGTAGTTCCAGGCAATCATCGGAGAGTGCACAATAATTATGACTTCGGTACACCCGTTTAATTCCACACGTGCAATCATAAGCTATGTTTGGGCGGTTTCTCTCACCATACCATTCTAAATATTCAGATGACAGGGACGATGCGATCGATCAGCAAGCGTCCGATCTAGTGCTGCAGCTCCAAATGTGGTATCATGAGCTAGCACAATCACTAGACAATGACTGCAAACAAACAATCCAGAATGTTCCGCGCGCGCTGATCGATGTCGAAACACTGAGGTGAGTGGCGGTACCCTGTGCGAGGGCAATACAAGTGAGCTAATTTGTATTCAGCAACAACATCTTGAGAAAAGACGGACATCTCGCAACGAAACCCCTATGATTGTATTGGTTATCACTTTTATGGAGTGTATATATTAAATTATAGACAGTGTGTCTACGCCAATATCACCGTCGCCACTCAAGTCTCTTCTCTCGCATATATATATTGATGTAAATACGTACACATGCATCTGTATCTAGTAACTTCTATCAGAATCAACCCGTGGGTTGACAATCCACCTCTCAAAGCACGTTGGTTGGTCGGTCGCTGTGCCAATGTGTATTTATTGCCTGGTGATGAATGGACGGGATTGGTTGGTGGATGCCTCACTCCCGTTTTCGCTAGTGCGAGGCACCGCAACTTTCAATGGTTTTCCAACTATATCTAAACGTGTCCAGTATATTTTGGGTACACTTAAGTAAAAAAACCTACAGAGAACTACACAGCTTTATTTATCCACTGAGTTGCTCAAATACATCCATGAATCGGCTTTTTCTTGCTAGATCTATTTACAGTTGAGTGGATAAGTGTGCAAACCAATTGTATATGAATACCGATATAAAACTTATGAAGGGTTTGATAGTTATGGACTTGCTCGTGTAAAGCTACGGTATCGTGTCTCAGCTCTCTTATTTTCCATCCGCTTTGTACAGGTATGACACCCTTGCGCTATGGGAGAAGCTAGATGCAGCGCGCGAAGACATAGAAAAGGTCGAGGAAACAACTGGCCAGTCCATCCTCACCTTATCCGAGGTGTGTCATTACTGTGCAGTTCTGTCGTTACCGCAGCAAAACCCGCACGCAACCTACTTCAATATTTATTTTTTGGTGTATGTCCCTGTGCTGGGAGACCATGGGCTTAATATATGCACTCAGTGTATTCAGCTGTAGGACTGCGTGTGCACACTGTAAACCGAGGACACCACAGGCCAGGCTATTTTCATCGTATCTGGAACCACTGTCAGCAGCTATGTGTCTGTGGGCAGGAATCCTCTGCAAGGGGACCATTCTTTATTTGTGTTAAGGTTGTAGACTGACATTTGAACTTTGTGCATAGTGTGTGAGTGCTAGTGTGTTTACGTTGCAAGCTCGCCTTGTTTCTGAAACGCCATTTTTACTTCAATGTTCACTGTGTAGCGCTTTTGTGCACTACACTGACAGTGGTCAGTAAAAGGCTAAAACCCAATTGGATAATAACCAGATATTCACATATGGCCCATATGTAAGCATCTACTGTCAGGCACGTACACACAAGACACATACCTGTGTGAACTCATATGAGTGAGGGCTTGTCCTGTGCATAAACCCAAGAGCGGCACTACATGTGTACATACATCGTGGGAGCGAACGCCTTCAATTTTTACCCTGACAACGACAGGTTGACACAGTCAAGCAGCGCATGGTTTCTACCAACAACGCACTGTCAATGGCACAGAAGTGGACACAGCTGTTACAGCAGCTCAACGCGATGGCAGACACGATTGAGAATCTGAGTATCGCACCAGGTCTAGCTACAGAAGAACTCCAGGTATGTGGTATCAGAAATTCCATCTTGGATTCGAATACACGCGTGTGATTTGATTGAACTGGTGTTGTAGTTGTCAAGTGAGCATTTACGCCAATCAAAGTGTGTACATATTCTTCAGATACGACTATACCCTTAGTGTTCGCATGTGCGCGATGTTGGCCTTGGCATCCATCGGAGGCAACTGGAACGCCCTTTGGATTGTGCTAGATCAGTATGCCAACGTGTGTGTGCAACAAGTGTTTATGATCATGCACCATGCAGGCGTTCTCATGTGTATGCAATACGATTCATATGTTGATGTATATCCCAGATAGCTGTCTTCATTTTCTGGGCTTGTATTTTAAAGTAGGGGTTCTCCACGTCAACCTTACTGCGCGTGTTAAAATGTAGGTTTGTATCTAGGCAATTAGAATAATGCGAATCAAGTTCTTGGTAGCGGCGGGAAGTCAATATTTCACTTCGATGTAGGCCTGTGATGGAGTCAGACACGCTTGTCGGGTAATTACTCGCATTCACCTCGTCACGTGCAGTGTCACGCGCAACCGGATGCCACAAGCTTTGTGATTTGCTATTGGTTGCTTTCTAAGCGACTATAGCGACACAGTGGTTAATCTAGACGAAGTGAGAGGCTATTAGAGGCATTATGATATGACAATAAGGCTTATAAGGATACGTAGCTAAATACACATCATCGATAGGTGACTGTAGGTTCAATAGCAACCGCATTGCGATTTTCATGTCGCTTCATGCACATACACCCAGTAGACTGCGTGAGTACACACATAGATGAATTTATTTGTATACGCGGTCACCACTTTCGCAATACATTTTTATTACCGATTGATATAAAAACACAATCCAAAGTTCTATTCAATTTGAATTGAATAGGCTGCACCGAATTCCGAAGAAAATAGCACAAATACCGCACAAGATACCTCCACGGCCAGTCAAGGCGACACGCTTCAGACCACCAAGACATCAGGAGCATCATACAGAGACGGTATCTTGGAATACCACGCGCTTGTAAGTGAGCTGCGAGCGTGCTTGGCATATTTGAAAAAGGTATGTAAAGCGGGCGCGCCGGGGGGGGGGGTAGGATGAAGCATGATATTCTAAGCGACACCATTTATCGGCCTTGTAGCATCATCTGCCTCTGCGCTAAAAATGGCTAGAGCGCAACACTTGGGAGAGCATATTACGGGGCAGTAGTAACGCAATGCAAAACATTACATGATTAGATCTGTAAGCGATACCTGAAACTGTACATGCGCGGATAACAAAGTGTTCGTCTAGGGTTGCTTCGCCTATAAGTATCGTTCATTAGGCCAGAAAACCACCGTACATCGTCATCAGTTTGTGCGCTACGTGTATGACCACACGTCAGCCCCAAGCCGCGATACAGTTTCGTGGAACAGACTACAACTTTGTTCGGTTTGCGTCCTACTATTCAGATAGGTATCATCATAGCCAATTGTGTATGATCGTAGTCAACTGTGGTCCTCTCTGAGCTTCATCAGCCACAGACTAGCCTCGCATAAGCTCGAGGGTCGCTGTAACATGTAACTTTTAACATTCATTCTTGTAGCGTTCAAGTGTGCAGACCTAGTTCGGTCGTCTAAGAGGCACTCATCCTACTCATCGCGTTCAAGAAGGTCAACATCCTGAGCCTGTGTGCTTTCGTAACTGTCTATGTAATGACCGGAGGGTTCTTGTTTATTTGCACGTACTTGCTATGTACGACTTGTACCAATTCTAAATATGTTGTCGACTTCTCGTGTATATCCGTACTGGTTTCTAATTAATCCCTTACGTTGTTTGTAGCATTGTCGAATGTTTTATTCTTACTTTACGACACACATCCCCTAGGATTTCCACCTTTTCTTTCAACGGTCGCGGCTCAATCCACTTTTGCATTATATCCATAGGTATCAGATTATGCCGAACGTAAGTCCGTGCTCAATGGATACGAAATGAAGCTCGAAAAAGCCATCCGCCCACGCCTGGTGGATGCACTCACGGCACATTCACTGGCAGACACTCGCACGTATCAGAAGCTGTTGGAGGGTAAAGCAGAGACGGACACAAACAGCTCCGATGCACCAGCTACAGGAGGTGAGGTCTATGTGAGTTTAGCATCAAATGCCTGCTCCTGTAAGTGTTTGTATGTCGTTATATCTGCGCTACGGAACATACACTATCGTGGTAAGTTAATTACTGTTTCAGTAACACAAGCGTAGTTTTGGGGGGTGTAGGTGGCGTGGTGCGATGTTGAGCGTTAACTTTATATACACATTTTACCTATACTTCACAGACAAAACAGTGCTGTCACTCTGTATTGATATGAATATATACGATACTCTGGGTGCACGTTGATCAGTCAAAATCACGACTTTATGGCCAATACATATATGGCAGCGTTTGTACCGGTTAGACCATGCCTATACAATATAGCTCTATGTAATTATACCTCGAGATTGTCGAGGGACGAGCTTATCCGCAGCTGTCTCCGACACTCAACTGTAAATGTACATGTGGTGTCTCAACAGTGGAATCACAAGTATAGCCACAGGCAATCAAACAGTGTTCTGTGTCATTCTATAGATCTTGGCACATATACATTGCAACTTGAACAACTAAAACCGTTGTAGCCTGATGCTCGTTTGTTTTTTACATATGCAAAGACCTGGATGGCTAGTTGACAGAGGCATAGTTGACAGGTATTATACACATACACTGGTGACTTTCTGTCGCTCTCATACATACACTACGATTTTTGTTGCACACGCAGGTGAGATTTCGCGTGAGGCAGGCCCGCCAGCGAAATCTCTCGTCAGTACTGTATTCGTGGAGAGCGCGTCATCAGCTATTCTGAAGGACTGGCAGCCAACTGCAAGTATGTACACATTTTATGTATGCGTGTATGTTGTGTATGTTCTATGTGTATGTGTACGCATGTTATGCATGTGTGCATGTGCGCATGTTGTGTATGCGTGTATGTATATTATGTGTGCTTATGTACAAGTATACATTTCGTGAGTCACTGCCGGCGGTCACATAGAAGTGGCAGCCGGTTGATTACGTCGACTTGTTTGTTATGCCGCTGTATTCACTTACTTTGCTATGCACGCTCTGCGTGGTGCATATACTCGTCATGTGCACACCTATGTCACCGGTATAATAGTATTGGGCACACATCCGCACATGCACAGTTTTAGTCACTCCAAATCTCACCACACACTTTGAGTGACAAGTGAGTGATAAGTATTTTTTTATTTGTCGTTCAAGTACCACATAGTGTGAGACCTATTTCATATGTGTCATAGTTCGGCGATGTGGTTTTTCTCTTTTATAAAGGAGCGCGGATTTGTATAATTTTGGGATAATGACGATATTGAACGCAATAGCAACATTCAGCTTCAGTATTCACCGCGTACTAGGAGTAGAACATGTTGCAATAGCGCAATGGCGTGTATTTAGACGGCTGTTTCCCGCGCTATTCTGAATGATGGCTCGCCTATACTGATACATCAGTCATGTATTTACGCGTAGGCATGGCCTATGTCTTTCGTTTTGATTCTGATAAACAGGCAGCCTTACAACTGGCAGTGGTATGTCGCCGAGTGCCTCGCCCCGTGCTCAACAGCACTTGCGTGTCAATTCACCACGGCAGATGGCGCTTGAAGGTGAGCATTCTAACACAACCGAATTCGTTTATGTTTGTAAATACTGAATGATATGAGTATGCAGTGGGTAGTGGTGGTAGCCTGATTCGATCGAGTTTGCACGTTGCTTGACAGTTTGTGATGGAGAATAAACACCGAGCTTTTACAGCATAGGTATTGGTGAGATTACCCTTGATAACTGCTATCAATTTCAGTGACCAACTTGTACTTAGACATATCAAATTGCAATAGACAAAACAACACTTCAAGGTATAACTTCAGAGGAGGTTCTCGAGCAGAATCAAATAGTGGTTATCTCTTCAATGGAATATTTGGGGCTTTCACAACGGAATGACACACAGGCAACACATTACAACCACAGCTAAGCCATGACATGTGCCTTTGCTTTTGTTTTTAACACACGATTGACAAAAAAAAACGCTACACATAAGCATAATATCAACCTGTGTCTCACGCGGGCCACGTCCACAGATATGATCTTTCAAATTCTCTCGGTAGGACTACATGAGCTATTTCGTTCATTTGATTCTATAGCAATCACCATAGGCTGATGTGTATTCGGATGGTCTACGTACCTGTTGAAACGTCTTTGTCTTGAAATACAGGTTCACCAGTCAATCAGGCGCAGGCGTATGTGGACGACATCACCGCGCTGTATGGGCTCATACTGACCTATCTGACCACTGAGAAGCCATGGGTGGACTCTCTGTTTGGCGCAAACGGAATGGCGCAGACTGTGCAGGTGAGTGTGCATGAAAGGCACTAGTAGGTGGGGATTTGCATAATCGTATGGTTTGTGTGCGTGCTTGACTTGTGTATGTGTGTATAATGGTCTAAATGTATATGTATTAGTCATTTTAACGTGTGTTTTGGGGTAGATGCCTGTACTGTGGCATGTCCACATCGAATTGTATCAGAATACTGCCGCAAGTCCGGTGATTTCTTTTGTAGATATAGAAAAGAAAGTAGTAAATTATCTATGTGCATGACGGACTACATTGAAGCCAACTACGAAACCAAGATCACACCACTAATCATCGTGGCTGGCGCATTGGATGGTACATTTTCATTTGTATCATTGTGGCTGGTGTAATTGTCCTTGGATGAAAATTACAAGCCTGTAAATACGTGGATGCATATTATTGATGCGTGAGAAGTTTGCGGCAGTGAAACTGTTGTCTATTCCGTGGTTAAGAACGCTGCTGCCTTCCTGTAGAGTTGTAATCACCTGTGAAGTTGTAGAGTTGTAATCACCTGTGAAATTGTAAGAGTTGTAATTACTTATGACATGTGCCACGCTTACGAAGCAGTCGGCAATCGACGTTAGTGACAAATAATGATGCATTGTCCAAAAACAATTCGAGTGAATTTCTCAGAGCCTGGAACGCGTTCATTCAACATACATGGTCACATGTGCATGTAACTTGATACTCAGCTCTCCTAGTAATTTTGTTATTTTATAATTCCAAACTTTTCTGGTAGTTTTGTTTCGTTGTAATTTTTAACGGTAAGACTGATTTTGCTTTCTGTACAGTGCGAGCTCGTGGGTCAAGTGCTGTCCACCTCAAAGCCATCAGTCACTACAGCCCTAAATGCAATCTCTTCTGCTGCCGCACCGGTATGTGGTTGTCTCGAGTGGAATCTATGTATGCATACTTGAATTTCCACCTTGCAGTAATGTGATTTGTATACACCGGCGCTTACCAATGTGGCTACTGTGGACCCCTGAGTGATTGCATCGTTGTGGGTTATAGCGCATCGGCGTAGATTGTCCTTCTGTACTGAGCGCGACACAGTGCTGACGATAGAATTGATTGCATGGGTTTGAATTACACTCCGTCGTAATTGTTGTGGCGTATACATCACCGCCCGCAGATAGAAAGCAATGGCGGATGTGGACGGTGCTTTATATTGGTGAGAACCAACTCAGTACTTAATAGAGCAGATTGTGCACATGACCATATGGTGCTCACCAGGTAAACATATTACATGCTCCCTATTATGTACGCGCTAACTACATCATAACACACCTATTTTAGTATTTTTGTGTTTGAATGCAAATTTTGAACGTAGATCTAAGCTAATTGGACCTCAAACACTTAATGCTTCACATTAGGCTCCCTCCAAGTCACAAAAACCACCGGCCAGGGATGTACTGCCATCACTGGTAGCCGCACACTCGGCAACACAGGACTTCATAGACTTCATCGATCCTATACTCATCCGCCGTAAGGGTATGTGTGAGTGCATGTCGTGTGTTATGAAACGGAGAGAAGTTCGCGCTACTGCTGGAGGCACTTCGGCTTTGTATTTGTTATACCTTTAAGTCTGCTGTGTGTAATTTGTTCTGTGATCAAATTTTCCTGGTCGTCGTTGTCGGGGGCTTTTAAAGTTAGTGATTTTCGAATTGTACAATGTCATACGCTGAAGTTCTGTATAATTCATCCCTTTGTTCATGTATTGCTAACAAGTGGTTTGTTGTTGAAGCAATACATACAAGTGGTTTGTTGTTGAAGCAATACATACAAGTGGTTTGTTGTTGAAGCAATACATACAAGTGGTTTGTTGTTGAAGTAATACATGGGTAGCCGTATATTCATATCTAGAGCGTACAGAACTTTGAAATCCAAAAAGATTCATGGAAGTGAGAGTTAGAAGATTCAATAATATCTACCTGTGAGAAATGGTGAGAGTTGTAAGATTCAATATTACAGACCTGTGAGAAAAAATGTATTGCGGCGCTCGCACTCACCGGCAAGAAACATCTACCCACCATTCAATAAATCTCAACTGAAATTAGTATGCACAGCACGATGTTTCTCTTGAATTTAGAATATCCGTGCTTTGTCTACGATTGCGTACCCGAACCAAACGCACGTACACTTGTGGCAACTGCAGTACATGCACATGTATAGGCGTACACACATGCATCTTCACCACTCACGCACACTCGTGTCAACTGGAATGATCTCGTTGGCCCATGTAACAATGTAAAGCTACAGAGAAGATTGAAATTCAGTACATACACATGTATAGGCGTACACACATGCATCTTCGTATTCTCACCAAATTGTATTTACAATATCACATGTTCATTCAGTAAGAAAACATGTCGCACGTGCACTCATTTACACCTGCAGGCGAAGACACACACGAACCTCGCAAACGTATGATGCACTTGGCATTCTCTCCGTTCTGTCCGCACCAACGGAGATTCGGCACTCTGGTTGAAATTTATATGACCAGACTCGTCGAGAAACTCCTGCGCTTCCCACAGGTACAAATAAGAATTTTGTTTGAATCCATATATGCGCATTTGTATGTATGCTTTGTATGTGTAATATGTATGTATGTATGTAGGTATGTATATTGTGGATATATGTACTTATAATATGTACGTATGTATGTATGTATAGTGTTCAACATAGTGGGTAGAACCAACCGAATCTGCCGATAAACTATTGTGCTTTCCTCACTCGTCGTACATCATAAGCTTATGTATCATACACATTTATACAAATATAGGCTTGTGCACGTCATGTGTATCTCTGTTCTTCCTTCGAGTTGTGTGGCATCAAAACCGTGTGATGCATTGTCATGTTTGCATTGCCATGTATGCGATTGTGTGCAGCAGTATGCTGCAATTGTTATATGCATGTAGACGTATATTTAGTTTGGCCCCATTAACCGACCTTGTATGCATTTGCAATTTTAATGGAATGTCTTTTAGCGCACCTAAGTATCATAAATGTAGTAGGATTGAGGGTTGCAGACAAAATGCTCAGCAAGTCTGTATATAGATAGTTGTAAATAATCGGGAAACTGTGATAATCATATGCTGAATTTTTTTAGGCATAGAACTGTCGGAGGTAAAACTAATGAACTTTTCAACCCTGTACAAATGCCGAGTTCATTGTATATTTTAAAACGTCACTGTCATGCAAAGGCAATTGAGTGCTCTCCTATACCTCCATCTTTATATATATATATATATATATATGTATATGTTATATGTATGTGTATACATATATATATATATATATATATATAGTATATATA